GACTAATTATGTACTGGAGATTTGCTCCTCGTCTGTGGCATCCTTTCAATCTGGCGCTTGCTTCTTGTTCCGTTATCCATTCTTTCCTTTCCTCCTTCCATAGGTGGTCTATCTTCCAGATACCCATTTTGACCCAAGACAGCCATTTCTGCTCGAGGTAGATCGGATTGTCGGCCTCGTTTGTTACCCATTCATTCCCAAAAAGTGGTTGCCTTAACACTTCGTCCTTGGATTTTGGTCTGTTGGTCTTGTTAGGAATAATTTTCCTCCATGAGCGGAGCAGGGCTGGCTAGTAAGGGGTGGGAGGACGATAATCTTCTGGTCTGTTATTCCTCGTCCGGTTCTGCCGTCCCGTCGTTATCAACCACTCTTTGTTCATTACCCAGAATAACCCTGACATATCGTGTGGGGAGGAGGTGGGGGCCACCGATCTGATACTGGCTAAGGCCATTTTATTCCAGGCGCTGTCCGGGTGCATCAACAATTTGATGATCCATCTGATCTGTAAGGCCCTGGTTTCCGTTCCTGGGTCAATAATGCCTAGGCCCCCGTTACGTGGTCTCCTTGTGACATAATGCCAGGCTATCTTGGAAATGCAGTTGTCTTTGTTGGGGTCGCCTGTCCACAGGTAACATCTGGCTCTGCGATTCAGTTCTTTAACTGAGTTGTCGGGGACTGTCCAAATGGAAGCTATGTACCACATCATTGAGAAGACTGAGGTGTTGAGGACTAACGCTCGGCCAATCAGGGATGTAAAAGCGTTGCCCCATCTCCCCATTTTATTAATCTGATTTGCCAACACGGCGAGGCCCATTTGTGGCGCCAAGCCATCTCTCGTCATTAGGATGCCTAGATAGCGAGTTGGGGATGCTTGTGTCTGCCATGTCATCGCCGCCTCCTCGCCTTGAAGTGAGAGGGGTTCTTCTTCGGAGAGCCACCAACCAATTGTCTTCCCCAGTTGATTCTCATTTTTGATGCTAGTTTGAAGGCATCCATTGCCTTGACTAAAGTTCTGAAGGAGGAGTTGAGGCCCTGATCAGGACTGTCAGATCGTCCGCAAGCATAATAGCTGTGGGGAAATCCATCTGGTGGGCTGAGCCTACATCAGTACTGGCCAGTCTCTGTATCGATGGGTCTTTTCGCAGAAAGGAGGCGATTGCCTCCATTACAAAGAGAAAGATTGAAGGGGCCAGTGGGTCCCCTTGGCGGACTGAGCGGGATATCGGATAGGAGTCTGATAGGAGTCCATTTACTTGGACGCAACCTACCGCGTCCCTGTATAGTATCCTAACCCATTTCCTGAAGCTTGGTCCTACTCCCATCCTTTCCATGCTTGCTTCCATAAAGTCCCAGTTCACCTGATCGTAGGCTTTTTCGAAATCGAAGAAAAGGATGGCAACGTTTATCTTTCTTTCTCTGATTTTTCTTACCGATTCGTT